GCAGGGGGGGCTTAATGAAAGGCTAGAAATGATAGAAATATCAGTGATGAGAGAATCACTGACCGGCTGCCTCCTACACGAGAAACTAAAAAGATACCAAGCAGTCCCGTCCAGCCTTTTTAACGACAGAGAAACCTTTCCCGGGACTTGTTGCTAAAACACGGAGTAAGTTGAACCAAAGTTCTAGGTAATTTGTGTTTTCCGATCAGGAGGAGGGGCCTGGGAGGTGGGCACTCTCTGCTCTTTACTTCCACGCCGCGGGAGGCATTTCCAAGGCTCTGAAAATAAATGTATCAGAGGCCAGAGTCAGATCAACTGCGTGGGCGGAATTATTTACGAAACCCGATGTACTACCCACTGCACTAGGGAGGCACCAGGGACTTAAGGGAAAGGGCAATGGTTACTCCCTGTGACCAGAGTGCTAAAAAACGCTCGGCGGGGGTCCCGAAGGCACAGTGAAAATAGTGGCGATTTTTATACATTTCAGACCACAAATGAAAACACTCCTGAACGGCACTGCCAGCCTGCTCAGGTCTGTGAGATAGGAAGTGAAGAGTGATTTCCAACTGTCCCTCTAGGACTGTCACTACGTCATTCCGGCACCATTTCCGGAAGCTGGTCTTACGCTGAGGCTCTACATCAGTGGTTCCAAGCTTTTTTTGGCCACGCCCCCCAGCATCTCTAAAATCCTGACACCCCCCCCCCCCCCCCCCCCCCCCCCCCGCTCAGTGACATATAATTCTGATTATTCAAAAAGCGAGCTCCCATTCACATGGAGGAAGCCTAAAAGGCCATGAACTTGGTCTACACAAGCTTCCAAAGAACATGGCATCCATGAGAGAAAGAAAAGAACCAACGGACAGCCGAAGTACCGAGGGAGAAATCACTAAGTAATTGTCAAAAAATGGTAATAATATGAAGTGATAGAAAAATATGGCAAATAAAGTTTCAAAACATACAATGAAGAACTGAAATGTGTAACTATGTCACAGGGTATATTTATGTACTGTAGGGGAGGCCCCTAGCACCATAAGAAATGCAAAAAATTCACTAACAACCAGAATTGCCCTTAAAACCAAGCTGCCCCCGGGGGTGTGTGTCCCCATTGGGAACCGCCGCTCCGCATGGTCTGACAGGGAGACCCGGGAGGTGAGAGGTGTCACCTCAGGGGTCTCTCAGGCCACTAACCGCTGGAGCAGGCGCTGTACCCCAGGTCACAGACACACATGCGGGAAGGCCGTTCAGCCCCAGAACCTCCCTCCCTCCTCCCCCCACGTCAGCCTGCCGGGGAGGCCCAGGCAGCCTCTGGCCGGGCCGAGCCGAGTGCACTCCTGCATTATTATTCACTGTTGTATTACATAATTTGTCTGAAAACTGTGAGGTTTATATTCCTATGTGATTACAGAAGTCATTAAAATTTTTAAAAATATATTTTCATTGATTTCAGAGAGGAATGGAAAGGAAGAGATAGAAATATCAGTGATGAGAGAATCACTGACCGGCTGCCTCCTACACGAACGGTGACCCCCTGATTCATACGTCGGTGCTCAACCACTGAGCCACACTGGCCGGGCCAGAAACAGTAATTTTTAAGAGTGGGTAGTAAGATTCATATTCCATCCACCAACTCTTTTAATATGAGTGCCATGCAAATAAAAATGTTAAGGCTTTTAGAGGTGAAACAATTATAAAAGAGAAAGTAAAAAAGACAGACAGACAGACAAGCCCGGATAGGGGACCTGGAGCAGCAGCACCTCAGCCAGCACTTTGCGACGGCGGGGAGTCTGTCACCGCCAACCACAAGGGAGGGGAAACTTCTGTTTCTGGACTCCGATCCCAGCGGCCATAAACGCCGTCCCCTTCATGTCCCACCCCGCCCCGCTCTGCCACCGGCTCCGCTCAGGCCGCCGCAGAGCAAAGCGGCGAGAAGCTCAGGGCTGATAATCGTCTGCGGCCGGTCACAGCGGCCGAGGCTCAGGGGAGGCAGCACGGCCGCGGCACTGGCCCGGGAAGGGGCCCTCTGAGAAGCAGGGGCGTTCGAGCCCCTCCTGAGGGTCTCCAGGCGACTGCAGGGTGGTCCCGGGGCGAGGGGGCTCCACGCTGGGGACAGCCTCCCCTGAGCCTTTATGCCAGAGGTTACGGGATGGATGGCTCACCGGACACTCCAACTCACACCCACGGCAGTGATCACCAAGAGGATCCTCGCCTGCCCCGGCTGCAGTTTTTACGGCGCTGCCTCACTGCGTCTGGGGGAACGGCAGCAGCTGAGGCTCTCAGGCCGGCCGCGCAGGTGTTCCAGGGGAACCAGGCGGCCAGGACCCAGCCTGCCCGTGCCCCGTGCCCCGTGCCCCGAGCCGCCGAGGGGGACCGCCCGCCTGGGAGAGGACAGAGAGGGCCGTGGCCCCAGGCAGCACCGCCCAGAGCGGACAGCGCGGGGGCCTGCCTCCATCACAGGGAACCCCAGTGCGTTCACACCTGCCGCCTACACCCCGAGTCGCCCGCAGCGTTTGTGACAAAAGGGGACACAGCACAGGGTGAGCTTCTGGGGAAAGAACAAATCTCGGCTGTGACGCTGAAACGTCTGCATTAGTTCTCACTCCACTGAGAGGGTCGCGCTGGGTTCAGAAGGCTGGCAACTTTATAAGCAGCTCATGTCCCCCCTCCCCTTGTTCCTTTAGGTCAATGCCCCCAAAACAGACCCGGGCTGGGCTTCTGCTTTAGAAAGCACCTGGCTACATACTGGCAGCTTCTAGTACTTTGCAACTTTGCAACTCCCAGAACCGAGGCCTGAGATACTCCCACTGGTACATACTTTCATTTTCCAGTGTGAACTCAGCATGCACTCCTCTCTCCCTCTCTCCTTCTCTCCCCCTCTCTCTCCGCCTCTCTCCCCCTCTCTTCCTCTCTCTCTCCCCACAGACAGTGTGCAGCCACCTGTTTTATAGCCACCAGCTGCCCGGTAAAAGCCGGAGGAAGGCACGGCCTCATACACCCTCCAGCGTGCCCTGAGGAGCATGCTTTGAGAACTGGGGTTTTCACCCCATGCCAACTGGGAGAAAACCCAGCATGTACAGGAAGGCAGCAACATTTTCACCTATTTCCCACTAAAGGGCCGCTGGAAAGTTCTGCGGTTCTGGAAGTCCCTGTTGGTAGGTGTGACTAGTTAAAAACCCGCTTGTGTCTTTAAAGGGCGGTGGTGGTGAGAAAGAGGCCTGTAGGCTCATTTGTAAAACAAGTAACTTTCCCTTTCCACTGTGGATAAGCTGCCCAAAGAACAACCCGCACTTAAACATCAGCTTCCCCTGCCGCCCCATCCCGCCACGCTCAGAGGTCAGGGGTGCAGTGTGCGGGGGGACAGGGATGTGCAGTGTGTAGGGGACAGCTCAGAGGGCAGGGGTGCAGTGTGCAGGGGGACAGCTCAGAGGGCAGGGGTGCAGTGTGCAGGGGGACAGCTCAGAGGGCAGGGGTGCAGTGTGCAGGGGGACAGCTCAGAGGGCAGGGGTGCAGTGTGCAGGGGGACAGCTCAGAGGGCAGGGGTGCAGTGTGCACGGGACAGCTCAGAGGGAAGGTGCAGTGTGCACGGGACAGCTCAGAGGGCAGTGTGCAGGGGGATAGCTCAGAGGGCAGGGGTGCAGTGTGCAGGGGGACAGCTCAGGGGGCAGGGGAGCAGTGTGCACAGGACAGCTCAGAGGGCAGTGTGCAGGGGGACAGCTCAGGGGGCAGGGGTGCAGTGTGCAGGGGACCGGACACGGGACAAGGGAAGGATGGGCTGGGAGCAGCTGCGGACTCGGCAGCCATCCCCACAGCAACGCACAACTCCTGCCGCGCTGCTCACCCCAATCTCCCAGGGATTGGCCTCAGAAGGACCCGCTCTCCGCTCAGGGTGCACCCCGCTCCGCTCAGGGTGCTCCCTCTCCGCTCAGGGTGCCCGATCACAGCTCAGGGTGCCCCTCTCTCCGCCCAGGGTGCCCTCTCTCGCGGGTTCCGGGGAGAGGCGGGAGCAGAGGGAGGCGCACTCTGGGGCGCACCGCTAACCCGGAGGTAAGGTCTGTCCTAAGCCGGCGACCGGCGACTCGGACCGTTTCTGGGGAGAAATGGGGTTCAAAGGGCCCCGTCTGAGATCGCGAAGGGACCCCCCGCGGCGTCAGGGGCCCTGTGGCCCCAGGTCCCCGGTCCGAAGCCTCCCGTCCGCCCGCCCGCCGCCCAGCCCAGCGCCCCGAGCGGAGCGCGGAGGTACCTGGTTCTGTCGCCGAAGGGCCACATGGCGGCGCGGGGCACGGCCCCGGAGCCCGGAGCCGGCAGCGCGGACCGCGGACCCCGCCCGGGGAGGCGCGCCGGAGCGGCGCCTAGCGCCCCCGCCGCCCGCTCGCCGTGCGCGGAGCAGGGACCGGCCGCCCCGCCATCGCCCGGCCGCGCACCGTCCGTGCGCCGCTCCCTCCGCCGCCGCCTCGGCGCCTCCGCTCCCCGCGCTTCCCACGGCGCCTCCCGGGGGACCGCGTCCCCGCCCCGCCCGCCTGGCCCCGGCCCAGCGGGGTGGCCCCGGGGCGCCCCACCCGCCCCAGATCCTCTCCGCCCGCCCGGAGCCCGGAGCCCGGGGAGCGGGGAGCGGGGAGCGGGGCGGCGGAGGAGGCGCGGGCCGGGCGGGGGGACCGCTCCGCACTCACCGGAGCTCCCGCCGCCGCCTCGGCTCGGCTCCCGCCCGCGCCGCGCGGGGCCGGGGGAGGAGCGGCCGCCGGGTGGGGACGGGCTTCCGGGCGCGGGGCCGGGGCTCGGGCTGCGGGAGGCGCCGGGACGTCTTTGTGTTTGAACTTCGGGAACGAGTTGGACCGGGTCCACGCTCGGCACTTCGCCTGCGCTCGCCTCCAAGCCCAGGTCCCGGCACCGAACCGGACCGGACCGAGTCCTGGAGCGAGGCCCGGCCCGCGCTGCCCCCGCTGCGGGGGGAGAGCCGGGGCAGCCCATGTCCCGGTCCCGGTCCCGGCCCGGCCCGGCCCGCTCACCTGGAGGCTTTCCGCACGAAGTAGGAGAAGGCGAAGTCGCGGTGGTCGTCCAGCCAGGCCTCCACCGACTCCGACCGCTCCATGCCCGCCGCCCCGCGCCCGGGAGTCCTCCCGCCGGTCCCGAGCCGCCGGCCTCCGGACCTCCCGCCTCCCCACCTCCCGCCTCCCCGCCTCCGCGCCTCCCGGTCCGGTCCGGCTCCGGCTCCGGCTCCGGCTCCGGAGCTGCGGGGGCGCCCGGCCAGCCGCCCCGCCCCGCCCCGCCCCGCCCCCCGGTCCCTCCAGGTGCGGCGGGCGGGGCCGGAGCAGCCGCGCCCCCTGGGAGGGAGGGTGGGGGTCCGGCCCAGACCGGCTCCGGAGTCCCGGCCCGGCTCCGCGGCGGCGGCGGCAGGCTCCCCGGAAGCCGGTGCCACTGCCCCAGGCCGCGCGTCCACTGGGGTGCGCTGCGCCCGCGCGGCCCGGGCGCCCGGAGGGGCTGGGTGTGGGGGTGTCCGTCCCTCTGGGAAAGGGAGGGGAGACTGGGACCCGTCCCCGCGCAGAGCGGGCAGGGGAGCGTCCCCAGGAGGAGAGGGTGCCCCCCTGGTCCTCCTCCTCCGCGCCCTGCTCTGGAGTGGGGAGCCGCGGACCCCCTCCCACCCGCCGCTCAGCGCGTGGGGCACGGGCAGCCGGGACAGGTTTGCGGGCGACTTCCAACATGGCTTTGCTGGGCTCTGCTCATAACAGCAGTAATCTCTATAAATTATGTGCCTGTGCATCAAACACCCTCCTCATGACCCAGGCAGAGATCTCCTGTGAAAGAGGGGGCTTCCCGCGTTGCATGGCCTTTGTGCCCAGACCACAGGGCGCCCGCATGCCATCCTCTTCTCTTGAGCCAGGGGCAGGAGGGCACAGGCAGAGGAGCCCCTCCCCCAAGTTCAAATCCCGCCTCATTGCCCTGAATGGACTGAACTGGCCCCTTCAGAGGCCTGGCCTCCCCCGCCCTGCCCTCGCTCTGTGGCTGCTCCGCAGAAAGCAATGTGTGTCTGCCTCTGCTTTGTTCTGTCTCCATACCTCCGGAGCACCTGCCCTTTTAATCTGGTGTTTTGTTTTTGTTTTTCCAATGAACTAAGTTTTGGGGCAGAATTTTGGGACCTTGTCTGTCTCACAGCATGGGAAGGACCTATGTATTAGCCATGATGTGCCCACAGCGATGACCATACTTACTTCCCACAAATGCCTTTCAAACTGTGCTTGGCAGCGGTGCAAGAAACGACTACCACATAACACCACGCAATGAACTTGAGACGTGAGAGCTTTACACGTGTGCCCTGGCCCCTCCTGCAGGGGCTAAGTGTCCTTGGTAAGGTCAGCTTCTCTGGAGCTTTGCTGCTGTAGGCAAGTAACCACGACCCCACACCGCGTGCCAGCAAAGGGGGAGGGAGCGAAGTGAGGCATGATCGATTATATCAGGTTGTACAGGATCAGAAGCCAGGAGGGTTTCTGGAAAATTCCTGCAAGAGAAGCAATTCCTGCCGCACCCCCCCCCCCCCCCATCCCTGAGCCCTGCGAAAGGTGGGGGGTCAGTGGGAGGGCCCGTCACCTGGGCTGAGGGTGTGAAACTGTTCTCTCTAGAGCAAGTAGGTAATGTTGGTAGCAACACCTCTTGTAACTGGAATCTATCAACAGGCAAGCATATTCAGAATGGGTTCCTATTTTCCAGCCCTAGTTTATTATTATCTCCTCGTGCTCAGTTATTTCATGTGGTAACGCACTTGTATGGATTGCTCTAAGCTTCTCAAATCCCCTCTTAGAGTGAGTTGAGGAAGAAGTAAATGACAAACATCACCAGGAAATAGCACACAGGACACTTCATGCTGTTCACAACACACACGTGTGCAGCGGCTTAACCGGGAGGCCCCCCGTGCTGTGAGAATGAGGCGCCAGTCAGTCCTGCAGCATGCCCGTGGAGGTTCCCCTGGATTTCATTTTATCCGCCTCTCCATCCAAGGTTTGGATTTCCCAAGTGGAAAAGCTAACACACAAAACTGTGGGTGACCAGATTCCTTTCCCCAAAGGGGTAACACCAATGGGAGGAGTGATGGTGTCCTCCCTGCCTTGCCTTTAAAAACAACCAGAGAATACCACTCACCCAGCACCATCTGGTCTCTGGTCTCTTCATCAATCCTGCATTCTAGGCTTGAGAAAATTGGGTGAATGTATTTGCACATAAAAGGGATCCACCTTCCTCACTGTGAAAGGGGAAAGACCAGAAGGTACGTGGTGTTGAAATGAAGTTAAAGCTCAGTGTGTGTGTGTGTGTGTGTGTGTGTGTGTGTGTGTGTGTGAGAGAGAGAGAGAGAGAGAGAGAGAGAGAGAGAGAGAGAGAGAGAGAAAGCACGCATCATATGGGAAATTCCACATGCAGGCTGTTTCTAAGAGCCGTGGGCAGCCATTAGCTAACAGCTCACAAGGAGCTAGAGCAAGAAAGACCTCGGTCTTAAAACCGAGAGAAGCTGAACACTGCCAACAACCCGAGTGAGTGCAGACGTAGGCATTTCCCCAGTCAGCCCTCAGTTAAGATCACAAACCCAGCCAATACCTGTATTGCACCTTGAGAGATGCTAAGAAAAACATCTTTCTAATTGACATCTTAATAACATCAAAGCCCACAGTCCATGAACATGGTATACTTACCTACTGATTTCAGCCTTTCAAATTTTTTCCTAGCAACATCTTATAGTTTTTGATGTATACATCTTGTACACATTTTTTAAAATTTATAAATATGTACCATACTAGAGGCCCAGTGCATGAGAATTCATGCACTGGACAGGAGTACCTCAGACTGGCCTGCTACGTCTCACAGTCCAGGAGTCCTCAGGGGTGGGAGATGACCTGGCAATCAGGGGAAAGGGATGCTTCATCACATCTGTGTTGCTGCCACTGCGGGCAGCGAAGCCTTGGCCGGCCCTCATTACCTGAGCCTCGGGCGGCCCTGGGAGGCTGGGCAGCCGCCATCTGAGGCTTGTCTGTGTCTTGGGCATGCCCTGGGCAGCTAAAGGGACTGAGGGATTCTGGAGGCAGGAGCACCCGCAGGGCTTAGTGGACTGGTTCCACCAGCTTCTGGCTGTGGGCACTGCCATCTTTGAGGGCATGGCAGTCAATTAGCATATTCCCTGCTTATTGGCTGTGGATGCCACCATCTTTGAGAGCTGGGCAGTCAATTAGCATATTTCCTCTTTATTGGCTGTGGTGTGAGAGCCAATTAGCATACTCCCTCTTTATTAGATAGAATTTTCCATGTATAAGGCGCCCCCCACTTTTCCAACCCAAAATTAAGAAATAAATATTTTAAACATTTTGCTGGTTTTCCTCTCAAGGCCTTCTCCTCTTTTGGCACCTGAAGGAGTTGTTCTTCCTGTTTCCCACTGTCTGATCAGACCCTCAGCGGAGGAGGCCCCCTGGTCTCTGCAGCTCTGTTTCCAGCTCCTTTGTGGAGCTGATGACATTCCATTTGAATTTTGCAGAGTAAGACAATCAATTACCGGTATTTATCTTTTTATTTTCTGACATCTTTATGGGCTCAGAACACTCCAGTCCCTGTTGAATCTGCGCACTCTCCACCTCCATCTCCAATTACGGCATCAGCTGACATCAGTAACAATAAGGCTCGTGATTGGAGGAAGCCGGTTTAACAAGGTCTGGGCAGCTAAGCACCTGCGAGGCTCCCTTTTCAGCTGACTTCCGTGTATAAGATGCCCCTCGGTTTTCAGTCTAATGATTTTAGAAAAAAATAACGTCTTATTCATGGAAAAATAAGGTATATATTCCAGCTCCGTCACTTTGAGATGCTGGAAGCGATGACATTCCAGGAGCAGTGAGTGAGTACACTTAGTGCCTGTATTTTGGCTACTAAATACCACTCTTCACTTTAAAAAGAAGCCAGGAGTCTTTGAGAAAAGATCCAGGTCTGGGACCAAGAAAGTACAGAATGTACCTGAAAAATCTTGTTTTACCAGAAAATGAGAAAGGCTTAACAGCTATGCCAATACATCCGAAGGACAGAAGATACATTTGAAGGGAGTGTACAATTTGAATATCATTTTCTGCAGCTCCATACTGATATCAATAAACAACTAGATAAGCAAATAAACAGGAGGGCGTGGTCCTCACAGGGGGTGGCACCTGGTGACTATACAAGGGATCGGCTGTTAGGAAAGCAAAATGATTGCTCCAGTGATGGGGGAGCATTATGATGAGTGGATTTCTACAGAAAGTATCTTCTCACAAGTTACTCATTCGTTACCATAGGAAAAAGGTAACTGTCCTTCCTAGGAAAGACCCGCAGATCAATCTAGAATCACTTCTATTGGGATGATTAGCAGTAACCCCTTTCAATAGGCTGTGCAGAGAAGGATACAGCTTACTTAGGTCTTACTAGAGGCCTGGTGCATGAAATTCATGCACTGGACCCCTCAGCCCAACCTGCACCCTCTACAATCCAGGAGCTCTCAGGGAATGTCCTACTGATGGCTTAGGCCCACTCCCCATGGTTCTCTGCTCTCTGAAGGCCTGGATGTTTCACTGCAGCCATGGAGATGAAGCCCTATGCCCTGCTCTCCCCTCTCTGCCTGCCACCACCATGGGCCATGTGAAGGAAGCCCCAGTGCCCTGCTATCTGGGCTCTGTCTGCCAGGCCTGGGGGCTTTCCTGACACTGACACACTAAGGAAATCCCCATGCCCTGTTGTCCTGGCTCTGCCTGCTGGGCCTGGGGGTGTTCCCATCCCCTCTGCCTAAGGAAGCCCCCAAGCCCTGCTGTCCAGGCTCTGTCCGCCATGTCTGGGGCCGATCCAGCTTCCCCGCTTGGTCCATGCAAACCCCCGTGGGGCTGACGGGCCCAGACACTGCAGCAGCGGTGGAGCGGGGAGGCTGGATCTGCCCCCTCCTTCAGCAGATCCAGCCTTGCGGCTTGGTTCCCACAAGCCTGTCCAGGTTCTGTCTGCCCGCCGCTTGGTCCGTGAGGGGCTGAGGGGCCCAGACTCTGCAGCACCGGTGGAGCAGGAAGGCTGGATCTGCTCCTTTGGGCGGACAGGCCCAGACACTTCAGCAGCAGGGCTGAGGGACTGGGCACCACCATCTTGTGGCTACGC